TAACACAATAAATACAAAGATGTACTTAATAATTCTCATTTCTAGTGATATATAGATTTCAAATAGTGATAGATCAGTAGCATTATATATGCAGTATAACTGGTAAAAAAATCAGATTTTGCTAATGTGTAGATGAAGTGGCACAAATAAATGAATGTTGGGGTACCAGTCAAATTGATCACCCCCATATATATATATATATTTCGTTCAAAACAAAAAGATGTTTTTCATTTCAATAAAAGTAAAGCCAATCGTTAATCTGAACTTTTTAATTTCTTTTTTTTTCCACTTTAGATCCACTCAGGAATTATTTAAAATCTATTTTCAAACGGATATAAACAATTTGCTCATTAAAAATGTTGATTTAAGTAATCATTATCGTCATATATGGTTTATTACTCTCAAAAAATGTGTGACACATCCAACATTATTTGACAAAATTCTTATTCAATTAAAATCTTACATAACTGATTATATTGCCACCCAGTCGGACAATGAAATATTCATTGATAGTATTCTGTCTTTATGTTTGGATATAAATCATTTAGGTTGTTCATTATCATTAGCTTCACTGTTGAATGATTATCTATTGGATAAAATATCTCTAACAAAAGAGCTATTTTCCGAAACTTTATTATATTCGACAATGCAAGGCTATTTGATATCAACTAATCCACTACATGTTGGTCAAGAAATAAAACAAGAAACGTACAAACGTTTTACATACGTACAATTTACATGTTTATTTATAATTCGACAATTTGAATTAAACTCACTATTGCTCGAAGTATTTGATGATTATCAAATGATTATCAGACAAATTTTACTGAATGAACAATTACTTCATCATAGACAATTGGAGACCAAACATTTGACACAACAAATTGAACGATTATTCAATCAACAGTTGTTTAAACCAAAATTCAAATTGATCGATCTCTTATGTAAGTACATATTTTTATCTTCTCCGACTAAAGATCATTATGACAGACATTGTTCTGACACAATGAAAGTACTCAAAAGAGGTGTAATAAAAAGATTAGTAATAGTTGTTTATTTAAACTTTTTGTTTTAGCCCCATCTGTCAGACTCACGGTCAATGAAGTCGATTTATACAGTGAAATAATTTATTATCATTCTTACAGTATTTTAAAAGATAAATATTTGCATCTGAACGCATATGATGATGATATAAATTATTCTTTGAATATTCCGTCGGAAGATGCTTATTTGAATGCTTCTGTTATATTATGTTCTCGTTTTCGTGATCATACATTAGAATTATTAATACCATATCTAGTTGAACTGTGTCATAGTGAATTACATTCATTATATCTGGCAGCATTAAATCAATGTTTACATCAATCAATGAAAATGGACACAATTGTTGGTGATTCAAAACTAGATCAAATGCTTATAGGTAGGTATAGGTTTTTTTAAACATTAGTAAATCGCCAAAAGTGTTTAATGTATAGTTCTAGTGAAATACTCTTTATCAATCTAGGTCTTCTCGACAACATCTGTTCATCAAATAAAATTACACATAATATTGATTTATCAAATTGGACTGAAATAAATAATTCTATTGAAATATTAAAATATTGGAACAATTTATTTCAACATAGCACATTTATCAATTTACTAACACAACAACACTGGGATAAAATTCTCTGTTATCTGACAAATTTATATCAATCACTGATTGATGTGAATGTTGTGCATAATGTTGAAAACATCATAGCTACAGAATTACTCTTATACCATTCATTAAATTTGCTGCATTCAATTGGAGCATTATTAACAATGAAAACAAATGATTCAATATCGAAACAACTAAAAGAAGAATGGATAAAATTGTATAGTAAAGAAATTTATCAACAATTATTACCATTGTACGTCGCATTACCAAGTAAGTGGATAGATCTAAGTCAAAAGAAATACAAAAAATCAAACAAAAAAAAAAGTAAATTCAAATAGTATAGAATCGATTGTATGATCTTAATTAATATATAACATAAAGATTAGAAATAGTGAATGTAGTTTTGCAGTAAACTATAAACAAATTTTTGAGCTCGAGTTCGTATATGTACAAGGTTGATTTAAAGTTTTTCATTAGTTTAAGTTTTAGAATATTATAATGGAAGTTATTCCACTTGTATTCTGGATGAATAAAGTTTAAATTAAATGTGTCTTTTTTTAGGTGTTTTAAATGAATTTTCCACCTATTATATGTGTCATGAAATGGTTAAATCTTTATGTTGTTCACTATGTGTAATACCCGATGATCATTTAATCTCAACTAATTTAAAACCATTATTTCATTCAGATGATACTAGTTTAATGTGGTGTGACTCGTTACAATCATCATTCAACCATTTATATCGTTTATTATCAAAATCAAATCGTTCCATTCAATATTCTTCTTATACTTTACTAAATAAACTCTTACCATATATAGCAAAATATCTATTACCACAAAACGAAATAACAGATGAAAATGAACGAGAACTTTTATGTACTCTACCTGGTTCTATTTTAGAATCATTGAAGCAAACAGAAGAGTCAATAGGAGAATTTTTGAATGAAAATGATATGGTTGAAGAATACGATGTTAATCTAGATGAACAACCGTTACTGTCACCATCAAAACTATCATCATTTAATAATAAAGACAATATTATCATATCTGAATTACTTACGTACAAACTTTTATTAAATTTAATCGGATGTTATTCAACTGTTGAAACACGTTATTGTTATACATTAATGTTACAAGAAAAAAAGTTAGTTGATCGAATTCTGTCTTATGTTCTTTGTTTGATACCAGCCAATCCACAATTCATTGATTATAATTCAATCTGTATGACAAAAAGATTAACAAACACAAAATCAATGTTTGAATATGATATACAATTAGATCCAAAACGTAAATATTTTCTGATACTATTTCTAATTTCAACATACATATTTATTTATATTGTTTTAGTGGAACCCTGCTCTTATGCTATTCCTCATTTGGCTTGTTCTATTTATATTCAATGTTTAACTTTAATTCCTGCTCTAGTACGTAAATGGTATCTTAATCAAACAAAACGTGTTCAAGATGCTGTTGACAAAGTGACACAAAAATATGTTAGTCGAACATTGATACAACGTGAATTAGATTCAGTACCGTTATTTTCTACTTCTTCTAATATAACGACAACATCAAATGGAGAATCAGGAAACGTCATAATCAAAAAACATTCTCAAGCACGAGAAATAACGGCCATTTATACAATCGAAACATCTCGAGTGGAAATTATTATTAAACTGCCAATTAATTTTCCTCTCGTTGTTGCTAATATTGAATGCATACGCCATGGTGGATTTTCAAAAGAACAATGGAATAAATGGATGTTACAGTTAAAAATGAATCTTACACAAAATGTATGTATATTAATCATATTTTTAGACTTTCAATTAGCCTTTTTATTTTTAGAATGGAACTATCGCCGATGGTCTACTTCATTGGAAGCGTAATATTGATAAAATGATGCAAGGAATTGAAGAATGTGCAATTTGTTATTGTATATTACACACAAATAATCAATTACCACAGCGTACATGTCGTGTATGCAAGAAAAAGTTTCATGATGCGTGTTTAGTAAGTATTAAATGAATCATTCGGATTTATACATTCTGTATTTATTTTTTTTACTTTCTTTATTAGTATCGGTGGTTTCGTTCCAGTAACAAATCATCTTGTCCACATTGTCGGAGTAATTTTTGAACGACTATAACTAAATTATTTTCAGTTAACATTGAAGATTTCGATGATACAGAAATTAGTTTTGTCATTTATTATTTTTCTTTCCATTTTCCTTTTGATAGTTGAATTTTTTTTTATGAGAAATTGTTGTTTTCTCACCGTTGCTTTATTTTTCTTGGATTTTTTGTTATATCGATCAGTTTAACGATTTTAAATTTTCATCTTTAATAATATATTGTTGCTATTTTTCTAATAAAAAATCTTTTTGTTATATTTGTGAAAACTAAAGACGTATTCATTGCTTTATAGATGTCATTCGTGCAGTATTTAACGAAATGTTTTTCATTATTCTGTGGGTCAGATCCGCTTGTTTTAACGACTACTTCTCATAAGCTGGAAGACGACATCAGATACTACGCAGATACTTTTGCGTCCAAATCGAATCGATCACATTGTCGTTTGTGGTTCGGTTCGCTTCTAATTAGAATCCTGTAGGGTTGATTATCCGTTCTTGTTCTATTAGCGTATAGTGCGATAGGAAGACGAAAATCTTATGGAATAACGTAGACGAGTTGTTAGAAAGAAGTTTATCCTGCTTACAGAAGGACATCTTCTAATGTGATTCTAGAATTGCCGTGGAATGTTCTGTGTATAATAAAGTTATATGAACTGACTGCAGGTATCATGGTTTTAGTTGCCACCGCTGAATAGTTAGCTGCTGAGCTATACTATTTTTACTTTTTCAGTAAAAGAAAAGAGTCTCATACTCAATCTCTTATATCGTTTAACAGCAACGCTAGCTAAATGCACTAATGATATAGTTTTATAGAGGAAGATCTGAGTTATAGTTTGGTATGTATTTCAGCTTTGTGTGACATTTTTTTTCCAAAGTTATTTCAATTTTGAGTGACATGTGCATATGAAAGCAGTTTAAAACGTTTGATATCGTACAGGAAAAGAAGCATATCCCAGTTTTGAATATTTAATTGGTTAAATTGACTTATCATTTATGTTTAGCGATGTTGAATTAACAGAGATATCTTACCTCAGTGCATATAATATATATTAGTGTTAGGTTTTAGTTAAAGTATCTTCATTTATGTTCCTCCCCATAAACTAGAACAAGGTACGGTTTCTCAAATGACAGCATAGAGTAAGGTAGAATAGGAGTACAAAGTTTTCATGGGATAGAGTACAGAACAAAAAAACCGTACCCTTCAGGATTCTATCTCTGATACGGAATATTTTAGTGTTCGAAATCAGACATTGTATGTCATTTTAAAATACATTTCATCTGAACAGTAATTAAAAAAAGCTTATGTTTAATAGCAAAAAAAATTATTCATGGAAATACACTGGGTAAGCTAGAGCTCAAAATTTTATTTTAATCTGCTGTATCCGGGGGGGGGGGGGGGCCGGGCGGGGGGGGGGGGGGGGGGGGGGGGGGGGGGGGGGGGGGGGGGGGGGGGGGGGGGGGGGGGGGGGGGGGNCCATAAATGGGAGATATTTGTTTATTGTTCCTAGAAAGATCCAGTCGACAAAAAGAAGAATAAATCATTACAATATGGATATTTTTCATTTCTAGTCGATATCGTAATAATTTTGTAATGTGTGTATCGTATTTATTTTTATATTTTGCTTTTATAACATATGTATTTTTTCGTTATGTTCTTAGACTAGTAAATAATTTGTTATAAATAAATGGACGTCATCATGATAAATCTGAAAATTTCTTGATCAAAGAAACCAGAGAAAAGTATATAGATTGACAATAACAATACCATGGTGAACAAGAATACATCGATTTCCTTTACCTTCAAATATCATACATATAAAACATCAGGCTTTTAAGAGAAATACGTCGTAACTGGACACGGAGTAGACAATGATAAATCCAGCCAACACGCGGTAGCATGATTTGCGCTAGTAGAACTGACTGAAAAAATATTTTCTTACATATACATCGCATGTAGCTCAAATAACTGCATATAATGGAAAAAATTTCTGGATCCACCACTGATACTAGATAGTAAGTAAGTTAGACCCGTACCGTTACCGGTGTAGGGTGAAAAACAAAATCCAATGCACAAATTAAAAAGAAAACTATAGTGTCTTTGGTAAGTGTTTGTAAGTCGCTGTTGTAAGATAAGCCAAA